AACTGTTAAGAACCGTAAGGCGACAAACGACATAGGAAAAAGAGGAAGAAGTAGAGGTGGGCAAGGTTAATATATATATATATACATATATACATATATATACATATATACATATATACATATATATACATATATACATATATACATATATATACATATATACATATATGTATATATAAATATATATATGTTTATATATATATATATAGAAGTTGTTTATACATGCATAAATTGTTTCACAGTGTATATATATGTATGTGTTTAAAATTTATGAAACATATGTATCACGGTCAGCTTAATTACTGGCTTTCAATTCAATTTTTACAAAACATTTTCACAAGAACTTTTGTACGAAAATTTTCACTCGGATATGCGCACACAATACAAAAGATTCTGAATCCCAGAAGTGGAATTCTCTGCCCTTCTCTTTCGAGTATCATAACAATGTTAAATAAAACCCTTAAGATGCGGTTTTGCTGTATTTGTGTGCGGTTATGTGGGACCATCTACGCATGTTAAGTATATCGGTAACGTTGTGTTTTCGTGAACGTAGGAAAAAATATGATGAATTTGTGCTTAGCATGCACAGGTTGTGCATTAGTTGTTGTTGGTGTTTCGTTTTTTTTTTTTTTTTTTTTTACTTTTACGTTGTATTGCGTTTGAAAGTTTTTGAGTTCAATTTTCGCCCATGACCAGAAAGAAACCAGAGCTCTCACCGCGATGAATTCTTTTATATTCTGCTTACTACACTAATGGATTTTTCTGTGCATATATAGACTCTGTCATACTCAATTTTTTATATATAAAATGTATTTTTTTTTTTTTTTTTTTTTTTTTTTTTTTGTTTTAAAACAAGATTTTTAAAGTTTGCAGCCTTTTTCCCCGAAAAGAGTTGAACTTTACGACAATAGAGGGGCATGACAATATGGAGAATGTGGTGTGTGCCTGTGTGTTTATTTAAAAGTATATTGAAACTTCTTTTAAAGTAAAACAGAAGCATTTAAAGATATTTTTGAAAGCATGCGCATTTCAATGCGATAAATACTTTTGACCAAACGCAAAACTCTACTTTAATGAGTTAGTTCGTCTGCTTGCAGGTTTGTCGCGCATACATTTGCTTTCATTTCTTTTATATGGCTGGGCATCGCGCAAAAGGGAGCGCAGGGTAAAAAATAAAAAAAAAAAATGACAAGAAGAATCCTTGGGTTTGTCTCATTTGTGGTTTTTAAAGTTTTGACAAAATTCCAAACATCCGTTTAACTCTTGTTTTTCTGTTTTCACTGCCTTTTTTTTTTCTTTTCCATTTTTATTTCGTTGTTGTTGTCTTTGTTGTTATTGAATTTGTATCTGTAGCTGTGAGCGCACATTTTTATGATGAATGTCAAAATGCTTGGCTTTTATAAAGGTTTTGCCATTATAATGGTTGGCTGGTTTAAATGTCTGACCGACTGCCTGCTGCACATAAAAACCGAAAACCAAAACGAAAAGAAACAGATCAACGTAATATACAATCGCAAACACTTAAACACACAAGCCTAAGCACAAGCACTGCTTAAAAATATGGCACTGAAAACATTTTAAAATGAAATTAATTTTTATTTGTATGTTTTACTTAACATTAATGCAGTGAATGATTCCCTTTTGTGTAGCACTTAATATTTGTTTCTGTTGTTGTTGTTGTTGTTGTTCTTGTTGTTGTTAAAGTTGGTGTCTAGTTCCATTACGAGAAAAAAAGCGAAATTCTTTAAATCTACAAGAGACCAAGGACTCAAGCAGTACAGATAAATAAACCACGGAAATATTTTAGTGTAGTTTTAGTGTTTTTTGTTAGTAATTTTTCATTTCAACAAAGCATTTCACATTAAGTTAATAAAAAAAAAAGCAAAAGAAAAAAAATGTAAAAATAAATATAAATAAAACTAAAACAAGTGTATAAAAGTTATTAAAAAATATTTTTCTCAGTCTTGTGTACATGTGTTTTCTTTATATGTTTAAAAAGACAAATATTAAAACGTCTGAAAAGCAAAAGTTTTAATATTAAACTAGTAAAGAAATCTTTTAAGACTTGAAGCGAATCGTTACTTGATTACTGCTGATGTAGTGTTGTGTATTAACGCAGTAAGCCTCTCTTAGGCCTTGTCGTCATGTCCGATAAATCGTATGCTCTTTAAAAATATGTTGTAATCTTTTTTTCTATACGCTCATCAAATAAGGAACTCCTCCTACTTTGCTAGCATTGTTCAATTTGTTATGGGAATACCAATTGCCTGATTGGCATTGGAATCAATCCTTAAAACCTGAAGATAGGATTTATGTCCGGCGCCAAATTTCCTCTTATCTAATATTGCTTGCATAAATTTCATTTTCAGATCTAGTATAACTTTGGAAAATTTTCATATGTAAGTTTCTTAACTGTAGTCAGGGCGTATTGATTTGCAGATCTTCCCATTTTTTTTACTAAAAAAAAACATGTTAAACACGCTAAAAGAACACGTTCAATCTACTTTTCTGATCAATTTCTAGTAACTAGGGAGGCTCCAGCGCATTCAGCTTCGAGCCGGGACGGACACCGAGATCCTTAAAGACAAAGCATGAATATATATCACAGAGTCCAACCTGCTTGTGTCTGCGTTTTACATTCTTACAGACAAATTTCATACTGCGTTTGGTTTAATATAATCATAATAACGATTCGGTTACACTTCTTGCGATAATAGGGTAGACTAAGCTTGTGCGGATGTGTTTAATACGCAGAAGGACTTAAGATATATTTATCTTTAAGATATCATTATCTTTTATTATATCGATATAAGCTTGTCTGTCCTTTTGTACAACTTCTTTTCTTGTGGTCGATCTATAGGCTGCTAGTTTTGAGATACGCACGGACTTGCGTTTGTCCCAGAAGGAAAGCTATTGAAAATTCGGATTGGACCAGTTTTTCGACCACGTCCCCCATACCGCATCATTAAGAAAAGTCATAACAAGAATAGTTGCGTGGTGTTGTAGGATATTTAATGGTTGGCCGCGGTCCACTGCAGCACATATGCTTGTTGATATTCGAAAAGTAGAGATGTCGAGAAAATATTATATACACAAAGGAAGAATACATTTATAGACAATGACAAACGGTACTTTGTAATATTAGGTGAACGCTGCCGATTGTTTACAGTTTTATTCAGGTGTGGTGGGATCACACATATTTGTTACAAAAAGGAGCAAATTATTTTTGATTTGGAAAACTGAAGTGTTTGTTCTCAGTTTACAACGTAAACGTAAACATGCTTTTTGGCAGTCTCGACGCATTTCCAATACAATCATGCAAGGGTTTTCAATGAGTTTGTTAAGTTTCAGGCCGATATGTTAACTTTTGGGAACTAACCAAGTTTGCGAATTTGATACTTGGCAAGAATGTATGCACTGTATAGGGACTCTTAAGCTTCCTTTCCAAAGCTGCAAAAGCTTTCAGAAAATTAATATTCGCCCAACCTGCTGTGACGGGTTTTAAATGTATGTACATACGAGGACATACATGGACATACGAGCAAAATGGATCTCATTGCTCAAAATTTTCATTTGAAGTTCCGTTCACATGTTCAAATCTACTAAAGACAAATAATAACCGGTCGTACGTTGTATTCCAAAACTTCACGGGAACCAAGTCATTTTACATACTCCCAAAGAAAGTAATCAAGCAAATTTAGGTATAGATTAAACAAAAAAGAAAAAGTTCCTACTGTGCTGAATGTGCTGAATTTCATATATCAACGACATTGATGCTCATTGAAATATGGAAGTAAATACTTCGGGATAATCTTTCTGTGCATCAAAACAAGTATAGGCGTTAGTTTTACATACACAGGAAACAGACTAGCAATTCCGACTTTATACCTTTTGGTTTATTTACGATGTCGTAATCGTACGTCTGTAATAAATTACAAATTGCGATGTTCATGTACAGCGTGAATGAACCGTCTCTTTGTCTCTTTGCCAAATGAATTTTGAAATTTAGAAGCTTTATGGCTTTTCTTTTGGTAAATTGATTCATATGATCTTCCTTGACATGGACTTTGATAATTTTTTAAAGATCCACGAGAGAGAGAGAGATAGATAGATAGATAGCAGTGCCAACAACTTGAGTTGAATATACGGTCAGAATTTCGGAAGAGAGCTAGAGTTTTATGGTCATCATTTAGCAGAGGATTTAGAACAATTGTCACACGAAATACCTTCAACATCCTCAACGACGGGAAATGTATTTGTGTTGTTACACGCGTATAATAGTTACATTAGTAATAATAAAAAAGTAGTCACGGTTTTTAACATGCCTCTAGCTAAATAGCACTAGATTCACATAAATTCTATCATAAAATAGACGGATTCAAGATTAATCAATCAAAAATTTCCTCTTTTCCTGTCTTTGCGCTTAAATAATTTTAATGCGTCGTTTTGTTTTTCCATTACAGATGTATTTCTCTTCGGAATATTTGTAATGATTTTATGTAAAACGACCATAAACGACAGCGCGAGAAAGAAGATTTAAAGTAAAAATAAAAAGAAACGTTTTCTTTTACTTGCGAGCCACCACCATCATCATTAAGATAAAAATTTTAGGTTTTCGGTATTAAATGGCAAAGAAACCAAACGAACCGAACACACACATAAATAATGAGGAATCAAAGTGAAAACATAAAAAAAATGTTGTGGCTTTCGCAGACGAAATTAAAATGAAACTAATTTACAGTGCTTATCGTTTGACGAACAACAACACTAATGGCTGCAAATCACATAAAGCGACAACAGCAACAACGACACCATCCACGGAAAACAAATATGTATATAAAATGACGTAAATAAAACAAAAATAAAAGCAAAAAACAACAACAACAACAACAACAAAAACGTAAAGCAAAAAGAAAATGCATAACAAAGAATTACGTCAAAATTAATACAAACACTACGAAGTAAATAAAGCTAAGCGAGGTAAGAAATAAGAAAAAAAAAAAAAAAAAAAACGAAGAAAAAACAAATCGCAAAAACTAAAAAACTTGGAAACAAATTGAAATTGTAAGTAAAAACATTTAGAACTAGGCAGGCGGCAGCGCTTTTGTTCAAAAGCCCAGCGAAGAATATATATATATATATACAGCAATAATATAAAACCACCAGCAAAGAGTAAAAAGTACGCGTAAACTTACTTTGCCAGTGTATGCATATATACGTAGATACATACATCCACATAGAATATGATGATGACGTTTTGCAGACAAGTGAGAAATTTGCCTGCAGAAGAACAACCAAAAAAATATCAACAACATCAACGACATTCTCGCAATCGTTCGAAAAAAACAACAGATAGAACTTTTATGAAAAGTTATGTTGAAGGAGAAGAAGAAAGGGTTGAATACTTTTTTGATTTTTTTTCGAATGTTGTTGATGATGTTGCTGCTGTTATAGCTGCAGCTGCGCCACAAATAGTTGGTACCACAGGCATGACAAATCAACTCAATATTGAGGATGTGGTTACGCGAAAAGCACCATTTTGTGTAAGTAGTGTTGTAAACAACGCAACCAACAACCGGACGGCAAGTCGACATGGAACGACGTGTGGTGGCAGTGATAATGATGACAAAAACGACAACGGCATTTGCAGTCGAAGAGGTAAAAGAAAAGCTTTTTACCTCAAATCGTATTTTAATAGACGGGATGAAAAGAAAGAAGAAGAAGAACATATTTTAGCACAAATACAGTTAAAAAGACGGCCTTTTGAACGAATAACACCATTAGCGAGATATGCGTTAGCTATGCTCATTTGTTTACTGGCTGTGTTATCAATGGCGGTGACAGTTGTTGCGTCGTCGTCCGCACAAAGTGTTAGTACGAGTTTATACGGTTCACCCGGTCCAGGGCCAGGCAGGTTTGTATACACCTCTGCCTTTCCTCGGCGACGCACAGCAGATGCATCTGGTCAAATGCAATCGCGAGCAGTAGATACACGTGTCCAATTTGAAGTTCTCGAAGGTCAGCCTCGTGGCACTGTAGTTGGTTTTATACCCACTAGACCTGACTTTACTTATCGCTTTAATGAACCGCCGCGAGAATTTACATTGGATCAGATAACCGGGGAAATTAAAACCAACATGATATTGGACCGTGAGGGTATGCGCGAACGTTACGATTTAGTTGTCTTATCCTCCCAACCAACATATCCTATTGAAGTACGCATCACCGTCTTGGATGTTAACGATAATGCTCCTGAATTTCCAGAGGCCAGTATAGCAGTTACATTTTCAGAAAGTGCTGCTAAAGGCACTCGTTGTTTGCTAGACGCGGCGACAGATTTTGACGTGGGCCTTAATAGCATTAGCAATGATTATCGAATTGTAGAGGGAAATTTGGATGAGAAATTCCGTTTGGTTGTAACTACCAATCCAAGTAGCGAAGTCTCTTATCTACATTTGGAGACGACGGGCGATTTAGATCGTGAATCTCGTAGTTTTTACACATTGAACATTTCCGCCAGAGATGGCGGCTCACCACCAAGATATGGTTTCTTGCAAGTGAATGTATCGATAGTCGACGTCAACGATAACCCACCGATATTCGATCAAAGTGATTATATAGTTTCTCTAAATGAATCTGTTCCTCCAGGCACCGCAGTACTGCAAGTCATGGCTACAGATAAAGACTTAGGCGATAATAGTAAAGTTACATATTTTCTGGCAGAGACTGAAACTCAATTCACAGTCGATCCAGAAATGGGAGTTATTTCAACTACCGAACATTTAAACTGTCCTCAGCAAACTTGCCCAGCCCTCTCAAAACCGGGTAATTCCTGCCCTAAAAGCTGTGTATTTACAGTGTTTGCTCGAGACCATGGTTCACCCCGCCAAAATGGCAGGGCCTACGTTACAGTGAACTTAGTGGATACAAATGATCACGACCCTGTTATCAGATTTCAATATTTCCCTTCTACTGGCTCCTTTGCCACAGTCGACGAAAATGCTGTTAATGGTAGTGTAGTAGCTGCGGTGTCTGTCGAAGATATGGATGAGGGCTTGAATGGTGAGACTAGTATACAAATAGTGTCTGGCAACGAATTGGGTCATTTTCGCTTAGAAAAAACTCCTTCCTTTGATATTGTAAGAGTCAATGGCGTTTTAGATCGTGAAGAAATCGGAAAATATAATTTGACCGTAATAGCCTCTGATAAGGGCTCTCCTTCGCGTACCGTTACCGCTTACTTAATAATTCACGTTAATGATGTTAATGATCATGAACCAGTGTTCGAAAAATCTGAATATTCTGCTGTTCTCAGTGAATTAGCTCCTTCTGGATCCTACGTGGCTTCTATAACAGCTAGCGACGAAGACACTGGAGTGAATGCGAAAATTTTTTATGATTTTGTATCAGGAAATAATAATAAATGGTTTATAATTAATTCTCAAAGTGGTTTAATCACCACTCAGGCGGAACTTGATCGAGAAATTGAAGGTAGCGTTGAATTGAGTATATCCGCACGTGATGGTGGGCCAAATCCTAAATGGGCCTACACAACCCTTAAAGTAACTATATTGGATGAGAATGATGAGACGCCGCAATTTACACAGCAGCATATTAATGTTAGTCTTAGTGAAGCTACTCCCCCGCAAACACTTATTGCCATGTTGACGGCGTCTGATCACGATCAAGGAACCAATGGCTCAGTAACGTACTCACTGTCCTCTTCGGTGCAACGAAAATATCCCGAACAATTCACTTTGGATTCGCTAACCGGTCAATTAACAACGCGACGTGTTTTGGATCGCGAGACGCAGTCAAAATATGAAATTCTAGTGATTGCGCGTGATCAAGGTGCTCCACCGCTGTCATCAACGGCTACTGTTTATCTGCAGGTAGAAGATGTCAATGATAATAGCCCGGTATTCTATCCCAATCAATATTTTCATGCGTTGGCGATCAATAGTGCAACAAGCACCAGCGATGACAATAATAACAACAACGGCCATAATAGCAAAAGCCACAACAACAATCATAACAACAACAAAGTTGCTTATAATACCCTATTGAAAGTCACTGCTACTGATCGTGATGAGGGCGATAATGCCTTAATTACCTATACTTTGGAGTCAGGTGGTGATGGTCTTTTTGTTATTGACTCATGGACTGGTGCCATTACTGTGCACACTAGCGGAGGTGGTGACATTAGTCGTCAGTTAAGTAAACCTTTGTACAAACTACACATATCGGCCAAGGATCGTGGTGAACGACGCAGTGAACAAGATGCAATTGTTGAGATAATGTTGCAAAGTAAGCTGGAATCACTTGAATTTGACTCATATACTCAAGCTTATGAGTTTCAAATTGTCGAAGATCATGGTACAACTGCACAGCAGCAGCAACAGCAGCAGCAGCAGCCAACACAAACACAACAAACGCTGTTAGTACCATCACAACTGGGACGTGAAGTGGGTCGTGTTCAAGTTAAACAGCAACCACCACAGCAGCAACGACAGCAATTGCCAGCTTCTATGAATGTAGAATATGCCATCGTATATGGTGATGCTGATGAGAATTTTGCCATTGATAAACGTACCGGACTTATTACTACTGCCAAGTTTATTGATCGTGAACAAATGCCACAGTACCAATTGGAGGTAGTTGCGCGCAAAGGACTTGCATATGGCAAGTGCTTGGTGCATGTGTCAATCGCAGATTTTAACGATAATGCACCCATATTTGTGCAAGATCGTGATGATGAGATTCTGTTGGCTGAAAACGCGGCTGTCGGTCAAGAGGTTTACCTATCACGAGCACGTGATCGCGATTCGGGCAACAACAGTCGTGTTACCTACACACTCACCTACAATCCGGACATGTTGTTTCGTGTTGGGCCTTCCACAGGCGTTGTTTACTTACAAAGATCAGTGCGTGCAGAGGCTGGTTCTGTTTTGCAAGTTGAACTATCAGCCACTGATGGTGGGAAGCCAGCTTTATCCTCAAAACATATCATCGCTGTGGCAATTAAAGATGTAAACGATCATACACCTGTATTCGATCGTACTTCGTATGAAACTTCATTGCCGGAATCAACGCGTGTAAATGAACGTTTCTTTTCAGTGGCAGCCCACGACAGCGACATTGGCTTAAATGGTATTTTATCCTACGAAATAATAGAAGGTAACGTGGCTCAACAGTTCGGCATATTCCCCGATGGCTATTTATACGTAAAAGCCGCTTTGGATCGTGAAGAACGCGATTACTACGCTTTAACAGTTAAATGTCAAGACTCTGGCGAATCGCAACGCACAGCCGTAGTGCCAGTGGTCATACATATAATAGATGAAAATGATAATGCTCCTCAATTTAATAATAACAGTTTTTCCTTTGCTATAGCGGAAAATGAACCAATTGATTCATTTGTAGGTAAATTAACGGCCGCAGATCGCGATATAGGTCGTAACGCGGAACTTATTTACACTTTGTCTTCTACAACTAAAGATTTTACCATAGATTCTCGTAATGGTTTCATCAAGACATTGCATCCGTTTGATCGTGAAGAATTAATACAGAGAATACAGGCTTCCCCATTGAGTTTACAAATAGCGGGAGCACAAAATTTTATTTTATTTGAAGCCATAGTAGCTGACAACGGCAGCCCACGTTTACGAGACAAAGTGAAGGTTAAGATTATTGTTACTGACGTGAATGACAATGCACCTGAATTTGTAAGGGCTCCATATAAAGTTCAAATTTCCGAAGGGGCAAATATTGGAACTCAAATAATGCGAGTCTACACTAACGATGCTGACGAAGGCCTAAATGGTGATGTATACTACACTATTATAGATGGCAATCACGAGAATCGTTTCGCTTTAGATGATGCTACCGGACAGCTCTCGCTAAATCGACGGTTGGATCGTGAATATCAAGCTGAGTATCGATTGACAGTAATGGCTCGAGATGCTGCTATGGAAGGTCAACAGTTGAACTCGACAACAACTATAACCGTAGAGATATTGGATGAAAATGATGTAGCTCCTAAGTTCGATGAAACTCTTAATGAAATTTCGGTGTTAGAAACAACCAGCGTAGGTACTGAGCTAATGAGATTTACTGCTACAGACTCAGACTTAGGCGTGAATAGTCAAGTGTCATTTAGTTTATCAGCTGGCAATCGCAAAGATACCTTTCACATTGACACCTATACAGGCCGCTTGTATCTGCATAAGCCCGTGGACTACGAAGACATTACAATTTATAATTTAAATGTTACGGCTTCTGACGGCGGATCTCCTCATCTTTCTTCAATTGTTACATTTACGGTGCATGTGGTAGATGAAAATGATAATCCGCCCAGTTTTCCCAATACAGCTATCGTACGGCAAATTAAAGAAGGTATTGATTTGAAAACACCTATCGTTACCGTAACTGCCGAAGATCCCGATTCCGGTCTAAATGGTAAAGTCACTTATGCGATTGTAAGACAAGAGCCTGAAATAACGGGTGGCCGTCATTTTGGCATAAATACCCAAACAGGTGTTATACACACTCTTCGAGAAATCGACAGAGAGGCAATTGATACATTTCGTTTAACCGTCGCAGCCACCGATCAAGCGCAAAAACCGGAAATGCAATTATCGGCTGAGAAACTTGTTACCGTCATAGTTGAAGATATTAACGATAACGCTCCAATTTTTGTTTCAATGAATGCTGCCATTTTGCCCTCTAAAGCTCAGCAATTATTAGGACAAAATCGTGATGGTTTTATGTTAATGCAAGTGCAAGCTTTGGATGCCGATTCTTCAAGCAACGGTATAGTAACATATGAAATGGTTAGCGGTAATATGGATTTATTTAAGTTACAACGTAATACGGGCGCAATAAGTCTTAAGAAAACGATCTCGCAACCAGAAGTGAGATATCAACTTGCATTAAAAGCTACCGACGAGGCAGTGCAAAGTGAACGTAAAAGCTCGGATGCTTATATAACAATTATTGCAACGGGTGCGCCGGGCACTGCAGGTCCGGTATTTGATCAACGCGAGCAAAGTGGTTCAGTATACGAGAATGAACCGATCGGTACTAGTATTTTAACGGTTAGTGCGCGTTTAAATTCGGTTGAAATTGAATATTATGTAACAAACGTGACGGCAGTTGCAACAGCAACGGTTGCTAATAACGGGAAAGTAATGAAAAAATCGGTTGAACGTTTGTTTGATATCGATACAAAATTAGGAATATTATCAACAGCGAAGGAATTGGATCGTGAATCCGGACTTGATATCTATGAAATTGAAGTGTATGCCGTGGCCTTGGGTGGTAAGCCGAGAACTACAAGTACAAAGGTAAGAAAATTTATAAATTTATTTATTTATTTTTATTTTTATTTTTAATATATTTTGTACAAAAAACTATTTATACGAAAGTCATTAAATTCAATAGCTGAAAAACTTATGATATTTACGACGATGACTGAACATTTACAATCATAACTACAATGACGAAAATTTACAATCTCACAGAAGTGGCATAAAAAACGCGACACTTACCAACACCAACACGATATATGTATATATGTATAGAAACAACATATAGGAAACAGAGCGCAAAGTAAATGCATTGAAGCATTGAGTTGTACGCAACATCGGCAAAGAAGTCAAAAAAAAAAAAAAACTCACATTATACCATACATTTGTTACCGTCATAATATAAGCGTGGAGACGTGGTTAAGGTTGGTAGTCGTAGAGCTTATAAGCGTATATGTATAAAATCATATGTTTGCTACGATCGTATTTGTACTATTCTGTTCGCTGTTCTATTCTATATGTGTATGTATAGTAGTTATAGTTGCATATAATTTTTTGTAGCAGTTGTTCTTGTAATTTCTTGTTGTTCTTATTGCTATTGCTATTAGTATGATGTTGACGATGATGGTGTTGGTGTTAATGGTTTGACCAAAGGTATGTTATATGCGCACTATATTGTCGTAATGTTTATGTTGATTGCCGCGAAATTTGATAAGAGAGAGAAAAAAGCAAGATTTCAAAAAAAAAAAATAAAAAAAATAAAAATAAAAACAGAAATGAATAATAAAAAAAAAAAAAAATAAAAAAACAAAAAACCGACAATATGTGCCCACGTCGAGTATGTAAGAAAAACATGCTGGCTTTGCGTAAATTTTCTTGAAGTGCTTGGTTTTTTTTCAACTGTACTTGGAATGATGTTAAGTGCTGCAATAGTATCAAGCATCGTTATAATTGTTGAAAATGTGCGAGGATTTTTACGTCATAATTTAAATCTTATTATATAAGGCGTAAAGATTTGCATAATGGGGATTAAAGAAGAACTATTTAATTTCCTTTAACGTTTTTATGAGGCGATTGCTACCAACCAAATTGTTAAATCTTAGCATTAGATTTTCTTTTGCTTAGCAATTCGAAAAAAAGAGAGATACGACAAATCAGCACTTCAAGCTTTGTGTATACACGTGTATATAAGTTTTTACTTATGTTATTATGGTTGTTGTGTAATCAATTATTTTAGTGTTCAAAGCCAGAAATTTAATGGCTATAAAACATTCACTTAAATACTAAAGAAAGAAACAAAGAACAAAAAAAAAAAAAAAAAAAAAGGAAAGAAAGATTTTAAAAGTACATAGACTGACTGCTCCATACTTAAACATCCGATAATAACATAAAAAGAAAAATATCTTTAAAAAATAAAAATAAAAAAATATTAATAAAATAAACCTTCTATCTGAAGAGAATAAAAAAAAAAAAAAAAAAAAAAAAAATTAAACTTAAACGAATTTCTCATTATGACAAGGATTTACATTCTGCACGGTATGTGGTAAATTAAAATGAGTAGAGAAGAAAAAACGAGACATAACAGAGTTCTCCGAATTTTTATGTATCTTCTCTTATGCATTCCCCTTTACAAAAGAAGACGATGACGATTGAATCTAACCATAAACCAACTTGATATTTTGCATAAAGTTATTGTATGCACGCACTGCCCGAGGATATATTAAATTTGTGACTCTATACGAAACATAACTAAATACATAAGGGTTTGCTATTTTTTTATTTATGAGCAACGACTTATTGGCATATCCACGGTGCCGTTATGAATCTTAAAAGGGATGAAACTATTTCTATTCTATTGAATTATAAGTGAATGCGTATGGAATTTTTCATAGGTAATTTCTTTTAAAGTTTCCCTAGAGCGCGATGACAAGTTAAAATTGTTTGACTGTTTCCAACTTTTTTCGAACAACAGCAGTTTTCCCCTTACTTGACATCGTTGCATTACGAAATTATCTTAGGTTCATCCGTGTCCCGTTCAGGATGCTTCCTTAGCTTTATTCATTAAATGGTGAATATTTGTTTTTCATGGCTTATTATTTCTAATTGAAAATTTTAGTACGTTTGAGATTTTCATAAAATGGTTTTCTGGCATTGAAATGCTTCTATTAATCGAATTGTCACTTGAAAAGTTTGCTTGGCAGAGTTTGTTTTATGGAAAATGACGTAGTTTTAGTCACATTAGTTTCAATATACTTGTTGCCATTGACGACCTAAGACGTGAAATAGCGTTTATTATTTATTAAAGATCATCAAATGGAAGAAGTCAGGTCGTTTTCTCTTATTTTTTTAAACGATTCGTCCAAAATTGGTTTATTTCTTCAAAGTCTTTATACTCTACGCCACTTGTAGTATAAGCAACACCCACAAGGACGTGGGGATGTAAGACTCACCTTTTATTACATCGAACGATTGAGATAGACGGACAGACGAACAGACAAGCTTCAATCGATCCTGACTTATTTTCGGACCTAGTTTCTGAACCATTTTTTGAATCAATCTAAGCTTGTCTGTCCGCCTGTTAGATAGGTTGTGTAATTTTTAATATATTTTAAGGAAGGATGAACCCGCTCAAAAATAATTCGTGTCGGATCACACAATCATAACTATATTGAACGAAGTGGTGTAGGATATTTAATGGTGGGCAACATCCCGCTGTAGCGTTTCCACTTGTCTATTTTTAACTTTTTTTGCATCCATTTTTACTTATGGCTTATGTCTTGCTTATTCTTAATGTTAGAGCCAAAGTTGTGTAGTTTTTAATGGTTTAATATAAACACAAATAAAACTTTTATGGTTTATTTTTATGACATATTTTAGGATTTTCTCTTCAATTTTTGTAATCTATGAAAGTTCATCTAATACATATCTTTTATGGTAGTGTCAATTTGAATAAGTAAAAAAGCTATATTCAATTTTAGAGCCGAATCAACTTAGTCGTAGATGCGAATCGCTAAACTTTGTATTGTATTTGAAAAATGATTTATGAGAATACTTTTCATTAAAAACTATTGGATTTTTCGGAAGAATGACTGAACATATCATTTTAACAAATCATTTTAAAATTGCGTATCTTAGTTAAACTTACGACATTATTCATAATTACAAAAAGCGATAAACATTCAACATACACACATACCCCTCTACGTAAAAGTAATTTAAAAAAAAAAAAGAGTCAATTTTCACAAATTTCTTTTTAATGAAATTTCCTAATTATTTTATCGGAATTTAATGTTCAGTCAGTTCAAGAATGCATTTAAAAGTTCATTGCAAACGAAACAGAGGCGAAATTTACACATACATATATTGACGTCAACAAGTCAACGACTCCGTTAAATGCGCATATTCTAAGACAGCATGAGGTTTCGTATGGATTTAACAATGTCTGTCCGTTTGTCCATCTGTTGTTACAATCATTAAAATCGTATAATTAATGTTGAAAGTTGGGCTATGATTATCTCTGTTTTTAAAGCTTGAAAAGAGGAAGATTTTGCTTGAAAGATGCTCGAAAAATACAAAAAGAAACTTTCGAAAATATTTTTGCTTATAACTTAAGATGAGAGGAGCATTGCGTATATAAACTCGTGATTTTTATCTACACATTAGAGGCATGGAAAATTTGAAATTTCTTTTTTGGGTTAAGACGGTATCTCTCTCTCTATCCATTTCTTCCTCTATTCGTCAGCCCACTCATCTGTTCGTCCAACACTTTGTCTGTTTTCGAAAGTTTTCGTACAACAGGAAAATTGATTTTGTTTTCCTTTTTTATTGTTCCCAACCCAAGTCGGAAAAATTTTGCTGAAGTTAACTTATTGCATGACCTATTAAATAGTACGTCAGCATATTTTAATGATAATTCAATTCCCTCAGTCTTATTTTACTCTTCATGACCCTTAAAAAAATTGCCATTTCTTCAGCCATCCCTCCGCTGGTGATTCCTCTTTTATGAGCACTATCTCCTTGAGCCCATGGGACCTACATAAACTCATGCTTACGATATCTACATGCATTTAACTTCGATTTTAGCAAATTTCTACAAAAATTTCCGAAACCGAATCCGTATGTATCTCCTCGCGTTAGCCGTATTATTCTAAATGCCGAAACCTTTCCAATATTCGAAGTCAAGCCTTCTAGTCACGTCGGAGCTTCTAATCCTATAGACTTCTTGAAAGTAATTGTAGGAATATATAAATTTATTAAAGCGACTAGAATAAACATCTGGTCTATCCTTCTCAGAAGAAAAAGGCCGATAGCCTTGCTTGTTAGTAATCATCGTATTTTTTAGTCCTACAATTTATTTCTTTGATCTAAATAGATTATGATAACAATAAGAATATAATGCAATGTCAAACTATAAGAGAATTTCAGTTCGATTTTCGACCAATTTTTTTTAGGCGTGCGCTCTGAGGAAACAACAGTGCGCAATAGTTCTTTCATCATAAACCCCTACAATATCTAAATATTTTGTAACTAGATACATTGGCCTACGGCTTTATAGTTCTGAATAATAATAAAATAAAAATAAAATAAATTTAATAATAATAAAACGATGCCGAGTAGCTTCAACAAAAACGAAATGAAAAACATGAAAGAATGTTTCTAGAAAGAACCTCTTTTCTAGGGATAAATATTTTTTAAGAGGCCTTTCATAACCGCAACTGTGTCGTTCGTCCATATTTTGCAATGACAAAGTCATCCAAAACAACAAGTTCAAATGTACCCTTTTTTCAACTAAAGTTTCGTTACAAAAAGATTATAAAAAAACATAGATGAATAGTTAATAAGAGTTTAAAAATATTTCTTTGTATAATTATTTTGGCATTAGCTTTTCACTTGTACCCTCCAAGTAGTCAACATGTTACGGTTTAATAATTTCATGTTTCGTGGAAGTACTTGTAATGGTATACTCGTGGGCGAGCAATGCGGAAGCATAAAATATTATGTTCCAACACCTTTGTGATGAAATTCACTTTAATTGTGAA